ACAGACAACACCAGTGCCTCGTAAGTAACTTATACAGGGACCACCATTAAGTAACTTATATATGGGCCACCATTGAGTAACTTACTATAGAGGCCACCATAAATAAATTAAAAAAAATTACCAGTATGTAACTTACTATAGCGGACCACCAGAAATAACACAGACACCACCAGTAAGTAACTTACTATAGGGGCCACAACAAATAACAGAGAGACACCAGTAAGTAACTTACTATAGGGGCCACCAAAAATAACACAGGCACCACCAGTAAGTAACTTACTATAGGGGCCACCATAAATAACACAGGCACCACCAGTAAGTAACTTACTATAGGGACCACCAAAATAACACAGGCACCACCAGTAAGTAACTGACTATAGGGGCCACCAAAAATAACACAAACACCACCAGTAAGTGACTTACTATAGAGGCCACCATAAATAACACAGGCACCACCAGTAAGTAACTTACTATAGGGACCACCAAAATAACACAGACACCACCAGTAAGTAACTTACTATAGGGGCCACAACAAATAACAGAGAGACACCAGTAAGGAACTTACTATAGGGGCCACCAAAAATAACACAGGCACCACCAGTAAGTAACTTACTATAGGGGCCACCAAAAATAACACAGGCACCACCAGTAAGTAACTTACTATAGGGGCCACCAAAATAACATATAATGCCACTAAGTATCTTACTATAGGGGCCACCACTAAGTTACTTACTATTATAATAAGGGCCACCAAAAATATATAACACAGATTTCACCAGTAAGTTTTCTGTCTGATGAAATTGCATTAAGCTGCTTGTTAAACTTTTACATTCTGGTGATTTCTCTTACAGAAACCAAAGAAGCCACGGAAACGATTAAAATCGGAGAGTTTCTCAGAAAGTGACGCCAGTAATACACCAGGAACCGCCTTATCTTCCTCCGCTCCAGGTAAACCCCACCCCCCCAAAAAAAATCAAATATGATAAGGTCTAATAGAGGTCAAGCTCCATATAAGTCTTAAACTAGGCATACATATTCGTGTGACCGGTCAGCAGGGGATGCTCACTCCTCCAAGGCACCTGATCCCACCTCTGATGTTTTAGAGTTCCGTCTTTGCTTTACTCCTATTTTGTTATGTTTTATTGACTTTCATATTGAATACTGTTTGTTATCACCATATCCTTTATGCAAAACCTACCAGTAAAATAATTATGAATTTATTTCATGATATATTATCTTAATTCGGGGTTAATATTGTGTTCTTATGTTACAGGCTCAGCATTCCGTCCAAACCTAGTCAAACCAGTCACAACTCAGGGAGAACCCACAAGTCCTGTCAAAGGTGTGTACTGTATACGTAAGAAAATAAAACAACAGACACTCATATCATTCTAGTTATAATGTAGGTATCACATCCTGTCAAAGGTGTGTACTGTAAGACATAAAACAACAGACACTCATATCATTCTAGTTATAATGTAGGTATCACGTCCTGTCAAAGGTGTGTACTGTAAGAAATAAAACAACAGACACTCATATCATTCTAGTTATAATGTAGGTATAACATCCTGTCATAACTGACACATAATTGACAATAAGCGTAACTGACAAAAAGCATAACTGACGCATAACTAACAATAAGCATAACTGACAAAAAGCATAACTGTTAATAAGCATAACTGATGCATAACTGACAATAAGCATAACTGATCCACAAGTGACAAGAAGCATAACTGACAAGAAGCATAAAGTAGGGACCCTTACGGTCAGATTCTGTCAAAGGTATATGCTGTAGTAGTTATCAAATTATACCATGCACAAGTAGGGGACTTTACTTGTCAAAGTAAATTTTAAATTTCAATTCTCATATATTAACTTAATATAATGACTCTCTAAATACCTTTGATACATTGTAAACATTTTTTTTTCAGCCAAAAAGCCAAAGAAAGGATTAGCTACAGCAAAGCAGAGACTTGGGAAAATTCTGAAAATTAATAAGCTTGGCATGTTCTGATGTGTTAAAGTTCTGACTAAAACAACCTTTCAAACCTCGATTAAGAATTGTTCTCTACATTGTTATGGTCACCAAGTATGCATCGTATTTATTTTTTGTTATTATTAGGACTTCCTTTTGTTGTGTCATTATATTTTGAAAAATTTGAATCTTAGAATTAGCCAATTCAGATCTATGGAGTTCCTGCTCTATAACCATTTGAATTCTGTTTAAACTTTTTACAGCATTTTTGTTAGGTGTCACATTTGCATGTTCAATTACTGAAGATGTACTTTTTTACATGGTGTCATAATTCCGCGGAATGTCTATTTTTGTTTAATCCGCGGGTAGAAAATTAGGAAGATTTTCTTAAATCATACTCCATGCCTTAAATGTATATCAAGTACAATCAGACAAATTTCCCAGAAAAATTTTTGACCATGTACATAGTGTAAATTAATACTACACAGAAAAAAGTACTTCTGCAGTAACTGATTCCTTAAGGTAGCATAATTATTTCTGAATCAGAAAAGAAAATAGACATTGAACTTACACATTCACGTGAGCATTGTTGAAGGGAAAGAGAAGTGTTGGAGACTTGAATTAACACTGTTGTTATTTTTTCTGCTGTGCAGATTTTAGTCTAGCAATAAACAGATCTCAGGATGATTCCTACACCTAGCTTAAGTTGTGTGCTGATATCATGTAACTGTACTGTTCTATTCCTAAACATTGACTATACCAGCATTTACTGTAACTAGAGCTTCATTCTGTTTGCTTGAACCATGAAGTGTTTGTTTCTTATGTACTTCCATGAAGTAATTGTTGTACTGCACTTAAGAATCATATGTTTAGACTTTATTTCAACTAGATTATGTAGAAAAATAAACAGCAATTTATAAGCATTTTGGAGCATTGATTGCTGGGTAATTAATGCTTTGGAGCATGGATTTCTTGCATAGTTAATGCTTTGGAGTGTGGATTCCTTGGGTATTTCATGCTTTGGAGTTTGGATTACTTGCATAGTCAATGCTTTGGAGCAATGATTGCTGGGTAATTAATGCTTTGGAGCATGGATTCCTTGCGTAGTTAATGCTTTGGAGCACTAAGTCAGACAGTTAAGCTAATTTTCATTGTCAATCTATTGTTCCTGTATGCTCTGCATTATTGAAGTATGATGTTGCACGGGTATTTTTATTTGCAGCATTATTTGTTCAATATTCAATCAATGCATTGTAGTAATGTAACAAGATTGTGTATTAATATACATGTAAATGTTTAATAAGAAAAAAGCTTTTGTTAGGCAAAGCATTATTTCTTATATTATTTTTCAGAAACCAAGCATAAATTATATTATAATAAATCTATGTGTAACAAGAAAGCATTAGATACTGGAAGATACTGATTTCAGGGTAGTTGTTTAAAAATAAATTCAGGATGTTAAGTCTTTTAACCGAGGCTACAATTGTTAGATTTGATGTCATTACTAAATATCTTAGTACGTAGAAGATGAGTGATAACCGATTTATGGTGAAGGTCTTACATTGTGTTATAAAAACTCTTTTAGATGCTGTGAAGCTCCTAGTTAGAGGAGGGGGTTAAACTTAATATTTAAAAAAAAATGTTTTTACATGTCCATTCAACCCCTGAAATAAGATATAGTGAGGTAGGAATCATTCCTGCTCTAAAACCGTTATGTAGGAATTAGTTTCGATTGCCTTCCCTTTTGATTCTGAAACTCCTGTAAATCTTTATTGAATACAAAGTTTTGCAATGACCAGTGGGGAGAGTTATGATGACGTGTCAAGGTCACTGGAGATAAGGTCAGGGTTCAAGGACTCCGAAGGAGAAATGTCAGAGGTCACGCATGAGAAGGTATGTCTTGTTCCTCAAGTTATTAGAACTTAGGTTGGAAATGACTGTGACACTGTTATCATATTACATTAATTTGGTTGTGTATTCTTCTTAGCACCTTTCATTGAGAGAAATTTCCATTGATTCTAGTCCAACGTTAAATGTCTGGCACATATACCCTGGTATACATAAATAAGAACATTAATAAATGCCCTGAATGAAATCTAACTACTGTATACAGGGTTATGTTCGCCCCGTATTATTTTCGCTCGTTCACACTTGCAAACAATTTTGCCCCATTTTAAATTCGCCCAGTCATAGTTTTGTTTAAGAAATTATACTGTATTCTTTGAATTCACCCCGTTTTAAATTCGCCCAAATGAGAGTAGGGCGAAAGGGGCGAAAATAAAACGGGGGCGAAAATTTCCCTGTATACAGTAACTTGTTCTAATTAAATCAATTTCCACCAAATATTGTACAGTCATGCTAAATAAAATACAGTGTAGTCACAACCTTCAGCCAAGGTCAATTACAAGGGCTCTGAGAATGTATCTCCTGGTTATAGCTTTGTTATGTGCAGATTTAAGGAACTCGAACATACCAATAGAGAATAAAGGGTGTTTGTAGAGAATTATTTGATTGTAAGAGGGAGAGATGAGGGCGTTTCAAGATGAAAAATCTATTAAACTTTTTATGAATCCAACTGAAGTATGTAGTGGTTTGGACTTTTTCGTTTTATCTTGTTTATGTTAAAGGTTAAACAAAACATGTATATTCTTATTTTGATTGTAGAGAAGTCAAGTTAAAGTGGGTGTATGAATTTGATTCTGTAAAGCACAAGTAAAACTGCTGATCCAAGATTTTGTATACATTGGCTTTACATGTACTTGTTAAAGTTAAAGAATATTTTAGATTCAGCTAAGACGCAAGCCTGGGAGATATATTCAACATCACAATATTATGATTTTGACTGAGTACTACTAAACTTCTGTGTAAAATATTTTGACAGTTAATATATTTGAATGAAGGTAAAACAAAGTGCCTTTCTTTGAAGCTTGATGAACTGAGGTATGGTACAGTATTTATTTGTAGAAGTCGAGTAACATGTTGCTAACTTATTTGTTATGTAAAATTTTTAAAATGAATTATGTAATTTTAGTAACTTCTATTTATTATTCACTGATATTATCATTTTTTAGCTCTACTGGTCAGAGACCAGAAGAGCTTATGCGATAGTAATGCGTCCGGCGTCCGTCCGTCCGTCCGTCTGTCTGTCTGTCTGTCTGTCTGTCTGTCCGTCTGTCTGTAAACAATATTTCAAAATGCTACTCCTCCTACAATTTTAGTCTGATTTCAATATTACTTGGCACACAAGTAGACTACACTAAGATACATAGAATAGTGCATCGATTTTTGATTTCGATGAACGGTGTTGCCATGGTTACTAAAAATAGAATTTTCTGTGAAATTCCTTCAAAACGCTACTCCTTCTACAGTTTTGGTCTGATTTCAATATAACTTGGCACACAAGTAGACTACACTAAGATACATAGAATAATGCATCGGTTTTTGATTTTGATGAACGATGTTGCCATGGTTACTAAAAATAGAATTTTCTGTGAAATTCCTTTAAAACGCTACTCCTTCTACAGTTTTGGTCTGATTTCAATATAACTTGGCACACAAGTAGACTATACTAAGATACATAGAATAGTGCAATGGTTTTTGATTTTGGTGAACGGTGTTGCCATGGTTACTATAAATAGAATTTTCTGTGAAATTCCTTTAAAACGCTACTCCTTCTACAGTTTTGGTCTGATTTCAATATAACTTGGCACACAAGTAGACTACACTAAGATACATAGAATAGTGCATCGGTTTTTGATTTTGGTGAACGTTGTTGCCATAGTTACTAAAAATAGAATTCTCTGTGAAATTCCTTTAAAACACTACTCCTTCTACAGTTTTGGTCTGATTTCAATTTAACTTGGCACACAAGTAGACTACAGTAAGATACATAGAATAGTGCATTGGTTTTTGATTTCAATGAACGGTGTTGCCATGGTTACTAAAAATAGAATTTTCTGTGAAATTCCTTTGAAACGCTACTCCTTCTACAGCTTTGGTCTGATTTCAATATAACTTGGCACACAAGTAGACTACACTAAGATACATAGAATAGTGCATCTGTTTTTGATTTCGATGAACGATGTTGCCATGGTTACTAAAAATAGAATTTTCTGTGAAATTCCTTTGAAATGCTACTCCTTCTACAGTTTTGGTCTGATTTCAATTTAACTTGGCACACAAGTAGACTACAGTAAGATACATAGAATAGTGCATTGGTTTTTGATTTCAATGAACGGTGTTGCCATGGTTACTAAAAATAGAATTTTCTGTGAAATTCCTTTGAAACGCTACTCCTTCTACAGTTTTGGTCTGATTTCAATATAACTTGGCACACAAGTAGACTACACTAAGATACATAGAATAGTGCATCTGTTTTTGATTTCGATGAACGATGTTGCCATGGTTACTAAAAATAGAATTTTCTGTGAAATTCCTTTGAAATGCTACTCCTTCTACAGTTTTGGTCTGATTTCAGTATAACTTGGCACACAAGTAGACTACACTAAGATACAAAGCATAGTGCATAAGTTTTTGATTTCAATGAATGGTGTTGCCATGGTTACTAGAAATAGAATTTTCCGTGAAATTTCTTTAAAACGCTACTCCTTCTACAGTTTTAGTTTGATTTCAAAATAAGTTGGCACACAAGTAGACTACACAAAGAAACTTAAAATAGTGCAATGGTTTTTGATAAGTACAAACCAGTAGAGCTACAGTCTCGACAGAGACTTCTGGTTTGTCTGTACAGTCAGTTTGTATGTATAAACAAATATACTGGTTTTATTTTAGAGATATCTAAATATTTTAGAGTTTTTCATTGTGTTTCTTATGTTCTTTATAATATTGTTATACTTTCACTTTTTGGTGTTCTAAATCCTTTAACAATGGTAACCAATGGTTTACATTTTAAATTTCTTGAAAATTAGAATCTGTAAATTTACGGTACATGTAGTACCAAATTGGTAGTAAAATTGATTTTTTGTTGTTGACATTTTAGATTTAAAACCCCTCACAATATTCAGATGTCATACCATTATTCTCTGTTCCCTTGATGCTTGGGTGTCGAACTGCAATATTTTATACGAAGCATTGTTAATGTTGATCTTTGTGTTTTGTAAAGATTCCTTAGTACATGTACACATCTCTGAATGGTAGAGGTATGGAAAATGGCTACTTCTTGGAAATTTGATTGAGGCCAATTCTTTTTATAAGCAGATTTTTGCATTTAGTTGTTGTAAAGAAAAAAAAAACTTTCAGATGTCACAGTATCAGGAAAGTAGTTGTATGTTTGTTTTCTAAGCTTATGGGGGGGGGATTTTTGTTACATATGTATTTATTTTTTTCTTAATTAAAGTCAGTTTCTTACTGAACTTGATTTTCATGCTGAAGGATTTTGATTATTATAAGATTTTTGTTTTGTTTTCTATTTCTCTTAGATTGCAAACAGTGTAAATTAAAATCTTTTTAAGATGCTAAAGGGGATGGATTTTATATTTAAATTTCCTTCTTCATCAGTTTCTGACCCTTTCTCATCATTGTAAAGTTTGCTCAATTTCTAGAATTTTTTTTTGCAATAGTCATGATAAAAACTTTGATTATTTGAT